ACTGGGACAGTGATGTTTCTAGCAAGTGCGTTTCAAATCTCTGGATAATTTCAGCAGTGGGCCACCTGCTTTTATAATTCTTTTCCCTGATGCTTGTATTCAGCTACTGTTTGCTCTTCTACAGCTCTCATGAGCTCCAGCAGCTTTAGGTTTGGGGGACAGCCCGAGGCCCAGCTATACAGCCCAGGCCTCATGCCACTGTCATATCCCCACCGACAGTGCTCCGGGTGCCTTCTGCCAAGCAATTTCAGGAACAGATTTGGAGATGAAACGTTAAGCATCCTTCTGGAGATGCTGGAAGATGGAGTGACTTCTCCAGAGCCCTCACCCACTTCTCTGCCCTTCCAGGACGACGTCAGTATAGTGAGGAAGATGAAAGCACAGGCTTTGAATCCACTCCATTACTGACAACTACTGCTATTTCCATTGCTCTTATTATAGCATAATTTCAGCACTGGATTTGAGCTTTTCAGAGCAGCTCTTACACTGGCAGAAGACACTTCACCAGCCTTCTACAATAATTATTCATGCTCTGAATCTTCATTACTTTTCCAAACAGCCCCTTCCCTTCTTCTTTCCCCCGTTTGTTCTGGCTAACTGGAATCATAATGGGTATCTCCTAGCCCATACCATTCTCTGTTCAGCACCCAGACCAGTGAATATCCCAGAATGCCTGCTGGAGACATTGTGAACTGGAGAGGGGGCCACAAGCATGCTCTCCCAAGGGAATTCTGAGATCAGCCCTGTGTGTCTCTGCAGTTTCTAAACTATCATGAGTCTTATCTCATTAACACACTTTATTGCATCCCCTAAGCTACTTCTCTGCAACTCATCTTTCTCCGTGCCTGCCTTGACCTCATTGCCATTTTTTCTTTCTCTCCTCTGGTATAATAACACCAATAGCTGACATGACTCTTTTTCAGGCACTGGCCTAAATGCTTTACATCTTTTTAGTAACCCTATAAAGTAGCTTCTTTCATTTTGTCACTTTGCTGTGGGGAAGCTGATCACAGACAGCAAAGTAGCTAGGAAAGGTCAGATACCTGGTAGAATTTAACCACAGTCAGGCTAGCCCTAGAGCCAGCCTTCTTGACTAGGCTGTATTGCCTCCCACTGCAGTGTAGTCTATACATGAGTGACAGGTAACCTGTGGGTAACTATATCATTTCAGAATATATGGTACAAAACATTGTGCTTTCTTTTGATCCTTTCAATCCGCACTTATGGACTTCAGATGCTATGCTGTGCCTAAACCATATGGTGAGGAGGAAGAAATAACCCCTGCCCCAAGTAGTTCACAGACTAATAGCAAAGACAGACATAAGAAGATAGGAACATTCTAAATATACAGAAGGGTGATACAAAAGAGATAACTCCAGGAGAAAGGAAAACACAGAAAATTTACTTTGTCCAGTTAAGAATATGTGTTTTAATTAATCTCATACTCTGGTTAATAGTTACCAGTGATCTCAGGGTAAGAAAATCTTGCTTAATAGCTTCAGCTATTTGCTTATATGCTTAACAGCATTTCCATTTCTTCGATTCAGAAGACGCAGCATGTTCTTATAAATAATGAAGACCAATATCATGATTGGAGATGCCTTGCCCTGTAGAAAGAGCAAGGCCTTTGGGATCACACAGAGCAAGGTTTCATTCAGTTCTGCTCCCTTCCAGCTGTGGGATGTTGGATACTATATGTGACCTCTCTAACCCTCACCTTGCTTGTCAAGGAAATGGGCACAGTCTTTCACCCATCGAAAGACACATAGGTTGTTTTCAGGTTTTGCCTATTAGGAATAAAGCTGCTGTGAACATTTGTGCACAGGCTTTTGTGTGAACATGAATTTCCATTTCTTTGGGGAAAACGCCCAAGTACGCAGTTGCTGGGTTGCATGGTAATGGCATGTTTAATTTTATAAGAAACTGCAAAATTTTGTTCAGAGTGGTGGTATCATGTTATACTCCTGTCAGCAACATATGAGTGATTCAGTTGTTTGACATTTTTTGCCATCATTTGGTGTTATCACTGTTCTTCCTTTCAACCATCATGATAGCATTAGTATGGGTTCTCCACAGAAATGGAACCAATAGAAAATATATGTCTGTACAAAGGTTTATTATAAGAATCTGGCACACACATTGTAGTTTTAATTTGCCTTTCCCTCATGGCTAATGAAGTTGAATTCATACCATAGATTACTGCTTAGCAATGAGAAGGAATGAACTATTAATGTAAATAGTTCATTGAAGCAACAGCTTAGGTCAATCACCAGAAAATTATGCTCAGTGAAAAACAGCAGTTCCCTAGGGTTACCTGCCATATGATTATAAAACTGCAGTGGTTAATTTGTGTGTCAACTTGACTGGACCATAGGGTTCCCGGAATTTGGCCAAGCATTGCCCTGGATAGGTCTGTGAGGGTATCCCCTGGATATGGATAACATTTGAATTGGTAGCCTGAGTCAAACGGATTGCCTTCCCAACTGTCGGGGGGCGGGCGGGGAGCTCATCCAGTCAGCTGAGGGCATAAATAGAGTAAAAAGGCTGATGCTCCATCTAGTGGGAGGGAGTTCCTCCTGCCTGACTGCCTGGAGCTGGGATACTAGTTCTTTCCTGCCTTCAGACTTGAGCTAAAAACATTGACTTTGTCTGGGTCTTGAGTCCGCTGACATTCAGATTAAAACGACATCATCAGCTCTCCTGGTTCTCCAGCCTTAGGACTCAAGCTTTGCCATGAAGCCTCCTTTTTCTCTAGCTCGTCAACTGCAGGTCTGGGGACTTAGCCTCCATAATTGCATGAGTTAATTTCTTACAATAAATCTTTTTATACAAACATATCTCCTATGGGTTATATTTCTGTGGAGAGCCCCGACTAATACAATAGCATTCTTGAAATGGCAAAATTACAGAAAGAGAGGACAGATTAGCAGTTGACAAGGGTTAAGGAGATGAGAGGGAGGAAAGAAGTAGGTATGATTATGAAAGAGCGATAGAAGGACTCCTTGTAGTCATGGAGCTATTCTGTATTTTGGACTGTGAAGGTGGATATATGAACCTAGACTTCAGATAAAATTGCACAGAACTAAATATACACAATCACACACTCACACAAATGAGTACAAGTGAAACTGGACAAGTATGTAAAAGACTGGTGGATTGTGTTAATACCAATATCCTGATTGTGCTATTGTACTATAGTTTTGCAAGATGCTATTAATGAGGGAAGGCTGAGTAAAGGAGTGCATGAGATCTCTGTATTATTCCTTACAAATTGCACATGAATCTACAATTAATGCAAAATGAAAAGTTTATTTTTAAAATGGGAATAACAATTCTTACATCACAGAGCTAAGTTACAGATGAAATGGTGTTCAGAGAAGCCTCTGGCTTAGGGTATAATACACAGTAGGTCATCAATAAGTGCAAATATATTTTTTTTTAACAGAGACTTCTGATTAGTGCCACGTCAAGTAATACTTAGTGGAAATGAAAAAAAAAAAAAGCTCTCATCATGCCTGAAATAGGAGACAAATAGATAGAAAGTTAGTTATAAGAAAATGTAGAGTGCTTGAAAAGGAGACACATTGCATTATTTAATTTTAAATATGTACACATATATATAAAGTTATATGTCCACCCAAAGAAATGACCTAGAGAACTGGTCGTTAACTAACAGCCTACTGTTGTTAATTGAAGATGCCAATTCTGCTCTGAATCTTCATAAATGTTTAGTTATCTCCAAGCTGTCGAGTATTTTAAATTCATACATAGGCCCTAGGAATTTTGATGAATACCTTTGAACAGTGCTGGGTCCGTCCCACAGACCCTGGCCAGCAGATGAAATGAGTACTCAGACAGGGGTATGCAGTGTAAGAGCGGCTAAGGGGCTGCCTAGCTCTTGTGGCCAGAGAGCAGGCCAAGAAGCTTGAGCTGCTTGCTTTTCCTCAGTGCGGGCACGATGCAGCAAACCTGGAGCAAACACAACTTGTAGGTAATTAACATTTATCGTTCCCCTTTAGGGGGAATGTCAGGCGTGAGATCAGTTCCTGGTCAATATAAGTAAACAAGATAAAATGATTAAGATAAATTCCTCTACACTCACTTGTACCTACTCCTTGCCCTCTGCCTCAGGGTTATAGAATAGCTGCCTTCAGCTATTTTCCCCTGGGGTTCTGCAAAAGCTTCCGACCTTTCAGAAGGCTTGCCCTTTCCCTATAGGTTTTCCCACCACTCTGACTGATCCCCCATAGAGCAGCCCAGTTTCTTAAAATCATAGCCTAAACCAGACTGGCATAAAGAAGCCCATGTGGAGTTAATTGCCGTCAACAGGAACAGTGACAGGTTGTTCTATATTCTTAGTACCTTTGCTGTGCCCTTTATTGCCGTGGGCGGAGTGGGGCCCGGGAGGGGAGATTCAACCTCCCTCCACCTCTGCTTTTTCCCCTTTTGCTATTTGGCTTCTTTAATAGGCTCCCAAAAAGAGGAAGGGAAGAATTGTCTCCCTTTACGGGGTTTTATATCAGGCGTATTGTTTCAAGAGAATCTGCCAGTGCCCTGGGCTACCGGTGAAAGAAAGGTGAGCAAGGCAAGCTTTCCAATCCAGTATCTCTCTCACAGTAGAATGAGAACTCAGGATGCAAACTGAGAAGACAGAGTTACCTACAAAGTGTCCTTGACTCAGAACGGAGCAGAGGCCATGCCTGCCAAGGTTCGCCCCTCCTTCTTTCAGCTCCATGCCTGAAACTCCCTAGAACACAACTTCTGGGCCAGTTTCATGGCTGAGTGACCTGTACAGCCATTCTCAGGAGGACCTTGTGCTTGATTTAATGCTCTGCTGTCACTTTCTTGACATTCTTAATTATTTTATCGTAATAATTTTATCTTTGAACTTACGTTTTGTAAGTGAAGTCCAACGGGACAATGAGCGGAGAGAGACGCAGTATGTCCACCCACAGTGCCCTGCTAGGCCATCTGCATACAGCTTTGAGAAGTTGGCTACGCCTCTTTCCTTACACGCTTACCTTGCACTTGCCTTGAGTCTTGCTAAATGCTCAGCATTGCTGTCCCAGGTACCACAACATCTAAGATTGAGTAAGCGAGGTGCTAAGAGCCCCGAGAGGCTGTGCTTTCCTATCAAACCAGAATTTGTCTCGAGTGCAAAAAGAAGGCAGTGCTGGTTTAAGAAATCAGAATGGCCAAGGAAGCTTAGTGTATCTTTTCTTACTGGTCTTATTCTCCCGAATTAGCCGATTGTTTGTACTGAAATGGGAAAGATAGGGCAACCCATAGTTCTTTTCCTTTTGGTCCTTCCTTACTCACCGTTAAACCCAAAAGAGAGAGTGCTGGAAGAACACATCTGAAAGAGCAAAATAAAAACAGTTGAGTTAGTTTTCTGCAGCTTTTCCACCATTCCCATAAAAATGAAATGCATATGCACATGCAAGCCTTGAGATATGAATTGTATAATTTTGGCAATTCTGTATATGAGTCAAATGCTCTTAGATTTGAATTTAAAATTGGCATTGCCCAATATAAAATGAATGATCATATACATGCTAATAATTGATCATTTTAACTTTATTTATTTATTTAGATATTAACTAGCAAATAAGAATCACCATGACAACTCAAGAGACCATGAAGAAGGAAAAAGCTTTGGTTTTGGTATTTTTAATAGCATTTTCCTGCTTTTTGAACAAGGGCTCTACCTTTTCATGTTGAACTGGGCTCTGCTAATTACTGGTCATGGAAGGTTTGCCAGACTCATTGGCCTCCTAGAGAACAAGGGCAGACATTAAGTGACTCTTTAGGCTTTGGATACTGGAGTCCGTTCAGTAGCTATAGTTGGAAAGTTATCCTGCCCGGCATCTTTCACTGTTTGGTCACCCAGGGCACATGGAGAAATTTACTTTACTAGGGAAAAAGTCATCTCTCTTAAGCTTGTGAGTACTGATAAGCCTATAGAAAAGATGTCTAATTAGGGTACATATGGGGTATGTATGAGTGTAAGTGTGTGCGAGCAAGTACACATGTGATTCCATTTCACAAGAGACTGACATATAAACAGGAATGGCAGGATATTAATTTATAATAAGAAATGGAGTCAGCACGGGCAATAGGAGTGGCATCCTTATTCCCCCCTGAAAGTCACGTTGTAAGAGAAGGCAAGTGAAACATATAAGGTGCCCTGATGTATTAGGGTTCTTACAGCAGACCACAAACTCTACTCTAGCCTATTTAACCAGAGCAGAGTTTATAACAGAGTAATGGTTTGCAAAGAATACTATAGAACTCAGTCAGCTACTCAACATATCTGTTTCGTCTTTTTTTTTTTTTTAGGTGGGGGACATATATTTAGGATACATTTTTAAAACCCTCATGTGGTTACATGTGGCCATGTGACTGGATTCTAGCCAATGGGAAATGAACAGTCACCATGTGCTCCACTCCCAGGCCTGGCCCATAACAGCCATCCATGTGCAGACCCTCAAGGTCTTCACTTTAATTAACTCAATGTAGACAGCTGTGGTAACCTCGGAAGCCATGTGTTGAGGATGCAAGAACCCTGGGTTCCTAAACAAAGACCTGAAAAGAAAACTACCCACAGACCAGAAACCCTCATTTTGAACTTTATGCAAGAGAAAAATATGCTTCTCTTGCATCAGGCCCTTAAGATACTTGGGATTTTGTGTTACAGCGGCCGAGAGACAGACCCAGTCATACCATGGGACAATTCTAAAGGAAACCCCATTGCCTTGTCTGGTGCTCTTCTGGCACAATGAGATGACCAAAAAGCTCTAAACTCCCCCGCCAACAGGCTTGGCACAAGATTTACCCTGCCTGACTGCCACCAGATGCTCACTTCCACCTGCTAACTCTTGCATGAGTGGGTTTTCTTGGTGGACCCAGGTTGCAGACAGAACTTTAGCTACAAGGAAGTCTGGGAAACATACTTTGTACCTTCCCTGCCTTGGTAACACAGGAAAGCACGTCAGAGGAGGCTGAATGAAGCAATCTGCAGAATCTGCCCTTATGGTAAGGTTAGACCAGAAGAAGTGGAATTAACTGGGTGATTGAATAGTTTTTAGCTTCAAGTTGTGTATTCATCCTCACAACAACCTGACAAGGGATCAGCTGCTTTGGGGTCACTACACCTAACAGTTAAAGGCATCCTGACCTCTGTATTTTCCAGGTTTGAAAGCTGACCAGCCTTCCTTGAGTCTGTTAATATTTTTATTCCTCTTTCCTGGACTTTGAAACACTCTCTATTTTAAAGCCATTATAAGCCCTGAGGTTTATGTGATTTACGTGGTTAAACTCTTAGGGAAGGAGTAATTACATTCATTTACCTTATTCCAGGCCCTTACTAGATTTCTTGAATTTTTCCCATGACCCCCTCTAGAAAGAACACACTTGGAGAAGTGGTGGTCCCACCTATTATCACTTTCAAAGGAGCTTCAGAGCCAAAGCTCTCTCGTTAAGGGAACGCAGCAATCACGTTGCTTTACACTGGGGCAGCACGTTTGGGAGCCTGGGCTCTGATGCCAGATTGCTTGGGTTCAAAATCCGCCCCTGCTATTTTACAGCTGCATAAACTAGAGTAATTATTCCATCTTTATGGGTTTCAGTTTTCTCTGTAAAATGGGGTTAGTGATAGTGCCCCTTTATGGAGTAATGGTGAAGAGTAAATGAGTTAATTTACATGGTGGTTTTAGAACAGAGCCTGGCACAAAGGAAGTGACCAGTAGGCACCGGCTGTCATGATGACTCCATGGAGCAAATCTAGTTGCACTGTTACCCTATTTTCAAATTTATTTTTGCTAGTAATAATCTTGCTTTATTAAATCTTCCTTCCATCCCCTACCCAAGGTGATTTCACAAAGGTTTCTGCATCCTGGAACATGGTGCTCATTTTCTGGTTTGTTCATATCACTTCCCAAGAACACACCTCTGATTTTATGATGAGGGCTGGTGGCACACCTGAATTGGAAATTCTAGCACTCAGATTTGTGGGAGACTTTTGAAGTATAAATCTGTTTACTAGAGTAGAGCTGTTGAGAAGCAGATGCATTTGAGCCCACACTGTCAAGCTGTTGCAGTTCAGAGAGAACATAAGGAGGTCAAAGAAAGAAAGAAAAAAATGCGGGAAGGTGCTCAGAGCAGATGGATAGGAATGGCACCAAAGGGCACGAGTGGAGGCTGGCACGTGAGGTTAAGTCTCTGTTCTTGGTCTCTGCCCCAGCTGTGCTGACCTCACGTCACAGGTTCTTGTGAAGGTACTTCTGGTACTAAGAAAGTCAGCAAGGCCAAGTGCCTTATGCTTTGGGTTTCTGAGCTCTGCAAACCTGGGCTCAAGTCCTGGTTCGGTCAACCCATAGAAGAGGATCTCGAAACTTCCTTCCCCCCATGGAACCTCAGTTCCCTTCAGCTGTAAAATTGGAATCATGTCATGTATCTCTCAAGGCTATTTTGGGGGTTAGCTGATATAACAGGAACGAAAGCACGAGCATAGTATCTGGCATGCAGTAGGTTCCCTAAAAATGTTATGCAAATTGGACTTTGTATTTTCTATTATAAAAGAAAAGGAATTCTATTGAAAAGAAAATTGCTCTTCGTAAGTTTTGCCTATAGCGGTAATAGAGTATGTGGTAGGAGGAAGCAAAAGACAAAAAACCTCAAACAGTTTCATCTCCAGCTTTTGAATCCTCCAAGTGAACTCTGTAATTTGGCTTCTTTCAGCCCTTCTGAGGACTGAAAGCCTTCGAGTATAGGCAGAGCCAAGGATGCCAGCCTCTTCCATTAAGGGCTCTGATTCATCATTCATTGCAGCAAGAGACATCTGCTTGGTGAGTTCTTTGAGGGCATGAGAGAAAGACGTCTCCTTGAATTCAGCAGATTTTGCAGACACTCAGATCACCAAGGGAAATGATTGCAAGGTAGCCGAGTGTGACAGTAGGGTTGGCTGTCTGTCTACTGCTGGCCTGTGACACTAGCAGAGGCGGTGGACCCAGGAGCTGCCCAGGAATCTTTTGCTCACCTTCTCCCAGCCCAGCTCTCTTACTCAGTTTCTGCTCTGAGGACTGGAGCAGCCCATACAGCTCCTTGCTAAGGAAGTTATTGTTATGCACTGAATTATGCCTTCCTACCAGTTCACGTGCTGAGTCCTAACCCCCAGTGCCTCAGAATGTGACTGCATTTGGAAACAGAATGTTTAAAAAGATAATTTAGCTTATAGTGGGGTCATTAGGGTGGGTCCTAATCCAATACGTCTAGTATTCTTATAAGATGAAAAGATTAGGACACAGACAGGTATGTAGAGGAGACCATGTAAAGACAGAGAGAAAACAGCCATCTACAAGACAAGGAGATAGCCCTCAGGAGAAATCAACATATCTCAGACATCCAGACTCCAGACCAGTGAGAAAACAAATTTCGGTAGTACTTTTTTTTCTTTTTTTTGAGGTGGAGCCTCAGTCTCACTCTGTTGCCCAGGCTGGAGCGCAGTGGCATGATCTCGGTTCACTGCAACCTCTGCCTCCCAGGTTCAAGAGATTCTCCTGCCTCAGCCTCCAGAGCAGCTGGGATTACATGCGTGCACCACCATGCCTGGCTAATATTTGTATTTTTAGTAGAGACAGGGTTTCACCATGTTGGTCAGGCTGGTCTCAAGCTCCTGACCTCAAGTGATCACCTGTCTCGGCCTCCCAAAATGCTGGGATTACAGGCGTGAGCCACTGTGCCCAGCCAAGATCACTTTTTTATGGCAGCCCTAGCAAACTAATGTAGTTACCTAATTTCAAACATGAGGTGGATCAAGCTCCCACTCACCTTTTCCATGACGCTAGAGAAGCCAGGTCTGGGGCCGGGCGCGGTGGCTCAAGCCTGTAATCCCAGCACTTTGGGAGGCCGAGGCAGGCAGATCACGAGGTCAAGAGATCGAGACCATCCTTGCCATGATGAAACCCCGTCTCTACTAAAAGTAAAAAAATTAGCCGGGTGTGGTGGCACGCGCCTGTAGTCCCAGCTACTCGGGAGGCTGAGGCGGAAGAATCACTTGAACCCAGGAGGTGGAGGTTGCAGTGAGCTGAGATTGTGCCACTGCACTCCAGCCTGGCGACAGAGCAAGGCTCCGTCTCAAAAAAAAAAAAAAAAAAAAAAAAAAGGCCAGGTCTGAAAACTGTGTCTTGCAAGAACTGGGCTTGTTTTATAATACCTACCATTTCCTACAGCTCTTACTGTATCGTACCCACTGCACACCTCAAGAGGGGGTTTATCACAGACCATTCCCCTTGCACTGATGAGGAGACTGAGACTCAGAGAGAAAACTGGGCTTATCCACAGTCTCAACAAAGAAAACAGCACCTCTAGGTTTTGAATAGAGGGCTTCCTCGCTCCCAGTTCATACTTGCTGATACTGTAGGGAGAGAAAAGGAAGTTGGCTGGTGATCTCCTGCTCCAATTCCACCAGCAGGCTTCATCTGTGGCCCTCTGGAGCAACTCCACTTATCTCAAAGGGAGTTGAACAATTTTCAGTAGACATAGGGTTTCACCATGTTGGCCAGACTGGTCTTGAACTCCTAACCTTAGGTGATCCACCTGTCTCTGTCTCCCAAAGTGCTGGGATTACAGGTGTGAGCCACTGCGCCTGGCCATAGGCTTAATGTCTTTCTGTTCATTCCACTTTCTTCAGGGAGATGGGAACATCGTTGAGGGAGAGGACTGTGGGCCTCCTACCTCAGTCCCACAACATCTAACACTGGGCAAGTGATCTATCTGAAGTTTCAGTGTATCTTCCCATTCATTCCTGTGGATGAGAGATGGTGGTAACATAAAAAGATGTTAATCAAGAAGCTGTTTGTGGAAGATAGCATTTGAAGGTGGTGGAGGCATTCATTGCTCAGCAAACATGTGCTAGTCTCCAGGGTTCTCCCAAGAAGCACAAACACACACACACACACACACACACACACACACACACACACACACACACATAAGGAATTGACTCACCTGATTGTAGAAGCAATGTGGTCCCATGGCTTGCTGTCTGTAAGCTGGAGACCCAGGAAAGCCAGTGATATAATTCCAAGACCCGAGAGCCAATCCAGATCTGCGGACCTGAGACAGAAGCACTGAGGGCAGAAGATCAATGTTCCAGCTCAGTCAGAAAGAGGGAGGATTCAGTCTTTCTTCACCGTTTTGTTCTATCCAGGCCCTCAACAGATGGCGTGATGCCCACGCACACTGGGAAGGCCATCAGCTTGACTCAGTTCACCAATTCAAATGCTAGTCTCTTTCAGCAACGTTGTCACAGATACACCCGGAAATCGTGTTTCACCAGTTATTTGAGCATCCCTTGGCTCAGTCAAATTGACACATAAAACTGTTACACAAGTTCTGTAGACCGGAGGTGAGGGAGATATGCCCCAGCCCTGCAGGGGGACAGGCCTGCTAGAGAAAGACAAACTCATGACCTAACTCTGCTGCTCACGAACACACACACACACACACACACACACACACACTGCTCAGGCCGACTGATAGTGCTCCCTCATTCTTCCCACCTTGCCCCACCTTGCCCCTGCTATTTATTTGCTCACTGCCAGAGGCTACCTGGTTCTGATAGCACGTACCACCACAAACACATACATACATCAGGGCTGAGGTTTCCTATAACCCATTTGCAGTCCCTGCAGCAAGGGCAATGGAACAGTACAGAAGCCATCTGCTGAGGAAGGCACACACTCCCAGGGTAATGCAAAGTGAGGAGTGGTTTTACTCTACCTTCAAGAATCTGCAAATGTTTTGCACGGGGGAGCACTTTGAACTGGGTCTTGAGGGGTAAGTAGGAGTTTGTCAGGGGTCATGGTGGAGAAGGGTTTTGCCAGGTGAGGATGTGATGAGCGACCTGGGGTGGCTGGGTACAGACCAGGTGGGATGACAGAGCTACAGACAGGAAGGGGCAGAGAGCAGCAAACTAAGCCTCTTTCTATATCATGCTTAATTAGTTGGTTATTTAGGCTGCTGACATCCATGCAGGGTGAATCATGAGACAATTATAGACTTTTGAATGTAACTGAAACATACAATCTTCCCAATAAAATGAGTAATTTTAACTGACCTTCCAGTCCCTAAATTGGAATTACTGTATTGTAATTTATTGTATCACTCTCAGGGTAAATGAAAAAAGCTCCCACTGGGAAGATATTTCTCTTCTCTTGAAGGAGATGCAAATTTGCAATAGTACGTGGCAAATAATAAAACCATGTAAAAATGTCAAAGCCCGGACTTCACCACTATACAACATATCCATGTAACAAAGCTGCACTTGTGCCCCTAATTCTATGATTTAAAAAAATAAAAATAGAAGAAGATTCCAACTGCTGGGCAATGGACTGAGCTTCCACGCTCAGTGACCCCAAATGTTATATGCAAGAAAGATAAGGATCTTCCGTGTTTCTAAGTCACTAAATGCTTCAGCTGACAAATGGAAATTTCATATGTTTGCTGGCCACGTAAATGTCTTCTTTTGAGAAGTGTCTGTTCATATCCTTTGCCTACTTTTTGATGGGGTTGTTCGTTTTTTCTTATAAATGTGTTTAAATTCCTTGTAGATTCTGGATATTAGACCCTTGTCAGATGGGTAGATGGCAAAGATTTTCTCCCATTCTGTTCACTCTGATGATAGTTTCTTTTGCTGTGCAGAAGCTCTTTAGTTTAATTAGATCCCGTTTGTGAACTTTGGCCTTTGTTGCAATTGCTTTTGGTATTTTCGTCATGAAGTCTTTGTCCATGCCTATGTCCTGAATGGTATTGCCTAGGTTTTCTTCTAGGGTCTTTACGGTTTTTGGTTTTACATTTAAATGTAAAACGTTTAATGTCTTTAGTGAATCTTGAGTTAATTTTTGTAGAAGGTGTAAGGAAGTGGTCCAGTTTCAGTTTTCTGTATATGGCTAGCCAGTTTTATCAGCACCATTTATTAAATAGGATATCCTTTCCTCATTGCTTGTTTTTGTTAGATTTGTTGAAGATCAGATGGTTGTAGGTGTGTGGTATTATTTCTGAGGCCTCTGTTTTGTTCCATTGGTCTATAATTCTGTTTTGGTACTAGTACCATGCTGTTTTGATTACTGTAGACTTGCAGTATAGTCTGAAGTCAGGCAGCATGATGCCTCCAGCTTTGTTCTTGTTGCTTAGGATTGTCTTGGCTGAATGGGTCTTCTTTGATTTCTTATGAAATTTAAAGTAGTTTTTTCTAATTCTGTGAATAATTTCAGTGGTAGTTTGATGGGAATAGCATTGAATCTATAAATTACTTTGGGCGTTATGGCCATTTTCACAACATCGATTTTTCCTATCCACGAGGATGGAATGTTTTTCCATTTGTTTGTGTCCTCTCTTATTTTCTTGAGCAGTGGTGTGTAGTTTTCCTTGAAGAAATCCTTCACATCCCTTGTTAGCTGTATTCCTAGGTATTTTCTTCTCTTTGTAGCTATTGTGAATGGGAGTTCATTCATGATTTGATCTTCTGCTTGTCTATTGTTGGTGTAAAGGAATGCTTAGGGACGTGGATGAAGCCGGAAGCCTTCATCCTCAGCAAACTATCACAGGAAAAAAAAAAAACAAACACTGCATGTTCTCACTCATAAGTGGGAGTTGAACATTGAGAACACATGGACACAGGGAGGGGAGAAACACACACACCAGGGTCTGTTGTGGGGGTGGCATGAGAAGGGAGGGAAATAGGTGCAGCAAACCACATGGCACACATATACCTCTGTAACAAACCTTCACATTATGTACATGTATCTTGGAAATTAAAGAGAAAGAAAGAAAGAAAGAGAGAGGGAGAGAGGGAAGGAGGGAGGGAGGGAGGGAAGGAAAGAAAGAAAACTTCAGTAATAACAAGCATTTATTGAATTTTTAACATGTACCCCATAGTGTACTAAATGAGTCTGAATACATTATATTACCACATTTAATCCTGAGGTGTTAAAGGTAGGTATTACTGTCTCCATTTTACAGGTGAGAGTGGAGGCTTAGAGAGAAGGCATGACTTGCTCAAGGTCACCAAGCTTGTGAGTGGCCAGCTGGGATTCCACCCCATGTTGGGCTGACTCAGGGCTCTGCCGTTGCTGCTATCATTTGCACATCATGGGATATTCCTCTTGCATTTGCCCTGCTGCCTTTGGCATCTCAGGGCCTTGCGTAACGCCCCAGTTTCCTAACATGTCAAGAGGAGGCTGCTGAGATCAGTCTGAGGGTTAATGCAAAAACTCCCCGTGGCAAGGGACTTTTGCTCTCTTGAAGGAGACACAAGTAATTATGAGCAATGTAGCCTGTTAAAAAACAGCCTAACTAGAAAGCTGGGGAGGGCACTTCTGAAGCTCTTACCACCAGCGTTTCTCCAGACGGGTTGAAAGGCTGCTTGTCTTAGGCAATTTGGATTCGGTTTGCTGTGTGCATGGAGCTGTCAGATAGATTTGCAGGGCTGTGTGCATCCCAGTATTACTTCACATGGCTTCACATGCCTCACATTGTTTTATTATTATCTCCTCTCTCTGCCTCTCCTGCTAAAACATGGCTTCTTCAAGGGTAACAAACAGTTCCATCTAATGCACAGGTGACGCAGTACCATAGCTAAGAGTCAGCACTCTGGTGCAAGACAGCCAAGCGTTGGAGCTCAGTTCCTCTGCTCTACAAGCTGCACGGTCTTGGGCATATTCCTTAATCTCTCTGTTCCTCTATTCTTTCTTCATCTTCTTTTTTTTTTTTTTTTTTTTGAGACAGAGTTTCACTCTTATTACCCAGGCTGGAGCTCAATGGCACGATCTCGGCTCACCACAACCTCCGCCTCCCAGGCTCAAGCAATTCTCCTGCCTCAGCCTTCCGAGTAGCTGGGACCAAAGGCATGTGCCACCATGCCCAGCCAATTTTTTTTGTATTTTTACTAGAGACGAGGTTTTATCATGTTGACCAGGATGGTCTCGATCCTTGACCCCGTGATCCACCCGCCTCGGCCTCCCAAAGTGCTGGGATTATAGGCGTGAGCCACTGCGCACGGCCTATTCTTTCTTCTTTCAAGAAATGTGATCATGCCTATGTCATTGTGTTTTCTGATAATTAAATGAGTTCAATATAAACAGTTTTTGAAAAATGTTGGGCAAAGAGGAAAACACTTGGTGAACATTTTTAGCTCACGTCATCATACCTGTTGCTGTTGGCTCCTAGGGGCAAGCCTTGAGTTAAGCCCCACTGGATGCTATCCCTATTTCTGGATATTTTATATCACATTTTAAAACATCACCTTTGTTATTTAAGTCAGATTGAGTTTTAAATTGCTATTTACTTAGCCAAAACCATCTGAAGCAGATGCTGGATGAATATGGACAGCAATAGATACGGCATTCTGGCTTCTTCTTGGACTGGGTGGAGAACTGAGCCCCCTCAATGCCTTCTGTCTGCGGGAGCCAGAGGAGGAGGGCTGTGCCTGGGGCAGGAAGCAGGGAGGTGGCCTTCCACCATGACAGGGTGGGTCTTTGCCAAACATTGGCTTTTCATGTCACCCCCTGACCATCAGGTAAAGTAGCAGCTCATCTTATTTCCACAACCTGCATGAGGGAAGAGGCCAATGCACGTTCCAGAAATCTCCAATGCCCTATCTCCCTCTCCTTGCTTCTCAGAGTGTTGTCCAATAGACAGACCCTTAACCAACTTCACTATGCCACTTAGGTCTATTTCTGTCAGATATGTGTGGTCATCTTATCTCAGATGATTTCTCCAATTTAGAAATCACCTTCAAGTCTTACCAAAGGTTTTGACTCTGTTGAATCTGTGCACAGTCCTTAACGTTTTGGAATCTGGGTGACCACTAGATAGCAGGGTGGATGGCTAGTGGAGTTGTATAAGATATTTGGACTTGTTAGAGCCTGTCGCTCGTTCCTTACAAGCCCTCGGGAGAATTCTCCGAAGCAAACAGTGGTAAAACATCGACCAGAAAAAAAGCTTAAAAGCTTGTTTTCAAAGAATTGGAAGACCTAGGTTCCAGGCTGCAACTGCTGCACTTGGCAATAAACTACTAAAAACAACATGGACATTTTTAGAAAAGACACCATAGAGAAATAGCCTCTCAATAATTTCCCAAATCTTTCTGACCATACCTGACTGTGAAAATGGGCACTGCCTGACCTGATTTCAGCTCCATTAAGAGTGGCTGTTGGCAAGTCTTCCAGAAGAGGCCCGCCAGCCCCCAGCTATATTCAAAGCAACAGGGAAGATTTGAGTTCTTGACAGCTTTTCCCCGCCTCACAAGATAATAAGATAGGTCGCATTTCATATTTAACCCACTTGACATTTTAATTCTTCTAATGTGCTCTTTGATGTGTGCAGATGAGGTGCAGTGTAGGTACAAGTTGCTATTTATATAGTCCTGGCAAGTGGATTTCATCAGTATCAGCTCCTTCGTTCACTTGGGTGCCTTTAAGATCATCAGAAATTCAAGTTTTCAACTCCCCAGTAGTTTCTTCTTCCCAAAGTTTGAACAAAGAACAAGAGAATAATGACCCTCTGATTTCTTACCTTGTGGCAAGAAGACAGTGCTGCATGTTATTAAAAATATTAAAATGATATTAAAATATTAGTATTATTACTATTTTATTGCTAGTAAAATATTAAAATAATATTAAAAATCTTGAATTTGGAGAGGATAGGCTTAACACCTTAGAGCTGGCTGTGGGGTCAGTAAGGTGATATATGCAATATTCTTAACATAAAGACTGACCCAGAGCAAAGCTCCAGAAATGACAGTTATTGCCTGAACTTGCTAATATTGTTGTCACTGTCACATCAGCATCATCATCAGTATCATGACATCATGGCTGTCATCTCCATCATCATTGTCAAGTCATCACATCCCCATCACTGTCATCATCCTCATAACTTTTTTGGCTCTTCCACTTACTACCCAGTGTCCTTGGTCACTTTCTCTCTATAGATGTCCCATTTTCCTTTTCGTAAAACTGGATAGTAATTGCAATCTCTCAGGACCACCAGGAAGAATGAATGAGGCAGAGAGAATCCTCAGTAAGACCCTGGCCTCAGTCGGGCCCCTCTTATAGCTCAGCTTACATTTCCTATGCATGATTTGTTTGCCTCTTTGCTTTGTTTTTAATATCTTAGTCTTTGCACTTATCAATTCCCCCAAGCCATAAAACCCAGGATTTTCTGTCCTTCAGAGCCCTATGCTACCCTGGTAAGAACCCTAGTTGAGATTCAAGAAATTTTTCAACTCCGACTGGGAATCCAACTCTCATTCCAGCTCACTGTGTGGTCTTAAGCGATTTTCTTTATCTACAAAATAAAACAATTGCACTATATGGGTAGTTCTCAAAGTGGTCCAGAGACCATGAGTACTAGATGTTAAGAATTCTTATATCTGAGGCCCTGCCTCACACTCACTACATCAGACTCTAGGAGTGGGGCTCTGGGACCTGGATTTTACATGCTTTTTAGGGCTTCTCATGTGCCTGAGGAGATAGTCTCTTGGGACCCCCTCTCAACTCTGCTAGTCTCTGGCAGGAGGACCACCGGCTGAAAAGGAAGTCCCTTTCCCGGTGTCATTGTCCTACCTAGGGGTTGTACAAGCTGAAAAGGGAGAGTTCATGGGGCCATAACAGAAAACAACAAGCCAAATATTTGTTAGACTTTCTGAAGTATTTCTTTATTTCAGAAGTTTGAAATGAACATATTCAAGATCCTCAAGACAAAAGAACGGTAACCAAGAACTTCATAAGTAACCACACAAACTTTCTCATATGAAGGCTGCAGACAAACTGTCTCAGGCACTCAAGAACTTGAGCAACACTGTTCCCAGGAACTCTTACTGAGGAACAAGCTTCAGACAACTGAAAGAACTAGAGAATTACAGCCACAGGGCTGGTGATGACCATTGAATCGGTGTCTACCAGTCAAAACAATATACACTTGGCTCTTTGTATCCATAGGTTCTACGTCCATGGGTTCCACCAACTATGGGTCAAAAATAGTCAGAAATAAAAGTTTTGTCTGTACTGAGCAAGTACAGACTTTTTTCTTGTCATTATTCCCTGTACAATACAGCATAACAACTATTTATGTAAGATTTACAAAGTATTAGGTATTATAAGTAACTTAAAGATGATTTAGAGTACATGGGAGGATGTGTATATGTTATATGCAAATACTATGCCGTTTTATATCTGGAACTTGAGCATTACAGATTCTGGTATCTGCAGGAGGTCCTGGAACAAATACCCCAAGGGATGACTATATGTATTTACCACTCACTACCTGGCCCCCCACCCCACACACATACACAAATACTTCTTTCCTTTTTTTCACTCTTGGTGAAACTTGCTCATGTCCTGTAAGCTAAGAATAAATTAAGGCTGAAAGACAGAAAACGACAAAGAAATGTGAAAAGAATGGAGAAGATCTAGGAAAAGTAGAGTAAGCTCAGTTATTACCTTACAGGCCCAGCTGACCCTTGAATGACCTAAGGATTAGGGGTGCCAACCCTCTGTGCAGTTGAAAATCCACATACAACTTTGCCTACAAACTTAACTGCTAACAGCCTACTGTTACCCACAGGGCTTATCAGTAACATAAATGGTCAATTCATACATATTTTGTACATTATAGGTATTATACACAGTATTCTTTCAATCAAGTAAGCTAGAGAAAAAGAAGAGTTATTAGGAAAATCATAAAAAGAAAATACATTTATAGCCCCGTACTGCCTCTATCAATGCCATAAGTTTACATTATCTGTTTATGAGACATATTATCTGTCTGAAACATAGGCACCTGCTACTGCAGACCTCAAACTTTGGTAGGTATCAAGCAATTCAACTTTTTCTTGTAATGCCATGACTTTTCTCTGCTTCTTGGGAGCACTTCCATCATTGCTAGTGGCATTTTGTACATGTCTCATGGTGTTGTCTAAGGTTTATGATATTGCACTTAACACAACAAAAACTATGTGAGAAACTTGAGATCAGTTATTACTGTGATATGCAGTTTAACGGAGAGATGAACTGCTTACTTGGAGGTGGTCAGCACCCACACGGGGTCTTAGGCAGACACTAACAACACTTGAACTCAAGGCAATAGCAGCAAGAGGTGACTATGAAATTATTACAGTAGTACCGTATGTACTAGAGTTAAATTTATGCAATTATGATTTAATACTGTATCTTAACCTTTGTTTACATTTAACTGAAAATTGTGCCACGTGTGGTCGGCATTTACGTGCCTATGTTTTAATAAATTTTAACTTTTTATAATAGATTTGTGGATAGTTTATGGGAGTAAATGACAGAATAGTACCTAAATAAAGTTTGCGCTTTCACAATCTATTTAACCTTTTCTTATTCTTTTTGATATTTCTAGTCTATATGGCTCATTTGCAAGTTTTTTCAAATTATTTCAAATCTTCAAAAAAACTCCAATATATTTATTGAAAAAAGTCCTTATATAAGTAGACCCACACAACCACAACCAATGTCATTCAAGGGTCAACTATATTAATTGGAATAAAAGTATGTTGGTGAGAGGGAGTAGAGGGAGAGAAAAAGTCACTAGTAAATTTCAAGATTATTCGTGGTAAGGATCCAACATACAGTAGCAGAAAAGAAAGAAAAATGGAAAGAAGGCAGGGAGGAACTAACAAGATCACGTACACTTATAAAGATAATATTTGTTATAACAAAAATCTAAAACAATATTACGTAAATATCAAAATGTATACCAGAAGAGAAAAAGACGGAGGGGTGGGGGGGAGAGAGAGAGAGAACATGACAAATAAAACAGACCAAAAGGAAATATATATAAATAAACCACACACACATATATATTATGTATGAATTTACTTAAATATAAAATATGACAAAACTGAAACTAAATATATTAGTTCCATCAATAAATACAAATGGACTTATCTACTAAAATAAAAATATTTTCCAATATGGTTTTGATTTGCATTTCTCTAATGACCAGTGATGATGGTTTTTTTTTTTAATATGTTTGCTGACTGCATAAATGTCTTCTTTTGAGAAGTGTCTGTTCATATGCTTTGCCCACTTTTTGATGGGATTTTTTTTTTTTTTCTTGTAAATTTGTTTAGGTTCCTTGTAGATTCTGGGTATTGGCCCTTTGTCAGATGGGTAGGTTGCAAAAATTTTTTCCCATTCTCTTGGTTGCTGGTTCACTCTAATGATAGTTTCTTTTTACTGGGTATGTACCCAAAGGATTATAAGTTGTTCTCTTATAATGACACATGCACATGTATGTTTATTGAGGCACTGTTCACAATAGAAAAGACTTGGAACCAGCCCAAATGCCCATCAATTATAGACTGGATAAAGAAAATGTGGCACATGTACACCATGGAATACTATGCAGCCATAAAAAAGGAAGAGTTCATGTCCTTTGCAGGGACATGGATGAAGCTGGAAACCATCATCCTCAGCAAACTGACATCAGAACAGAAAACCAAACACCACATGTTCTCATTCATAAGCGGGTGTTGAACAATGAGAACACATAGACACAGGGAGGGGAATATCACACACCGGGGCCTGTCAGGGGGTGGCGGTCTAGGGGAGAGATAGTAGGGGAGTGGGGGGCTAGGGGAGGGATAGCATTAGGAGAAATATCTAATGTAGATGATGGAGTGATGGATGCAGCAAACCACCATGACACATGTATACCTGTGTAACAAACTTGCACATTCTACACATGTACCCCAGAACTTAAAGTATAATAAAAAAATTCCATATTGATTAATAAAGTCAAATCTAATACTATCTATAAGAGATACATCTAATGAAAATAAATAATAAATAATGTGTATATAATAGCAAAGGACTGGAGACACTGCAATTGCTCATCAACTGAGGACTGGCTGAAAAACTAGGGCACAACCATCAATAAAGCCCAGTGCATCTGTAAAAAAGAATGAGAGACATCTCTATGTGTGCTCTTGGAGGGCTCTGCAGGATCACTGCTGAAAAGAGAGTGCAAGGTAGACAAAGTATGATATGTTATTAGTCACCTCAAGAAGGAATCATGTGAACATGTGGATGGATGGATGGGTGGATGGGTGAATGATGGATGATGAATGGATGGATGAAGTGATGGATGGACAAGTGGATGGGTGGGTGGATAGATAGATGGACAATGGATGAATGATGGATGGATGGGTAGATGGATGAATGAAAGGTGATGAATGGACAATGGGTGAATGATGGACGTGTATATGGATGAATGATGGATGATGAATGGATGGATGAGGTGATGGATGGATGAGTGGATGGGTGGGTGGATAGATGGATGGACAATGAATGAACGGATGGATGGATGCATGAGTGAATGGATGGGTGGCTGGCTGAATGAATGATGGATGAATAGGTGAATAGATGGGTGATGAATGAATGGATGAGCAGATGGAAGGATGAATGGATAAATGGATGGATGATGGATGGTAGGATGGATGGATAAAATAGAGATTATATATATTACGTATTACATCTATACACATGTATATCTATCTATCTATCCATCTTTCTACCTTTTGTTTGTAGCTAGAAAGACAGCAGAAAGGTAAGCCATGATTTTAAAATGCTTTCTTCCGGGAAGAAAGTGAATCAGGTGGAAGAACAGGGATACAAACTCAATTTCTTTGACTATATATTTTTGTAGGTGTGACTTGGGAAACACATACATATATTACATAATGATGAGACAAAATTAAATTAAAAATAAATTTCTGAAACCCAAAGTTAAATGAAATGATGAATCTAAAAAGTGTTGTCCAGTTGGTGGCATAACCACACAGAGAGAATTCCAACAGACTTAAGTGATGTCACTCCTGCAATATTCCTTCCCACTGGCTATAATGTCATGAGATCATGAGTCTCATCATGAGGAAACACAGCACATTGAGGCAGTTGGCACTTGTGAAGTGTGTATCATATCAGGTTATCAAGCTATTGGGTTGTTTACACTCACTGGCCCAGTTCTGAGGACAGGAACTACATACACATACTCTGGTTTTACAAAGTCATCATAAACAGGGTGAATATTACTTATCTGTCAAATATACAAATGGATCAGTAAAGTACATGATTAATAAATGGAAGTTTTGAATCTTCTGAAATCTGAGTATTTTCAAATTCAAATCCCAGAGCCAATTTATGGTGAAAAGTCCATGAATCTTAGTTAGTGATTAAAACAAACCAGTGAAGTGTTTCCAAAGTCTGGGGAAAGTTTGATCTTAGGAGGAAAAAAGGACAAACTTTCAAATCAGTCCCTTTTGTAGACTCGTTCTCTGACACCTCATTAGCTCCCATTGATCAGGATAATGCAGAAACATTTCTGCAGGGCAGTTAATTAGAGAAGCCACTGAGGGTGAGAGAAGGAGATGGCTTGGCTCCATTGTTGGTGTTAGCAGCTTTCTTATTGGTCAGCTTCTTTTTTTTCCATAGTCTAAGATGGATATTAATTCCATTTTGTGGGATCAGAAAGGACTTTCCAGTGGTGTGGAGTTGAAATGGGTCCGGAGAATGAGTAGGAGCAGGTGAGGGCGAACATGAGGTCATCGTTGACTGTTCAGGCAGAGGCATGGTTGTTACATGGTAGAAGGAGGGGGTTACTGAAGAAAACTGCCATTTGTGGAACATCTGCTACTTGCCAGGCAGTATGCAAGGCACTTCCGATGGCATCCATTCAACCCCCATAATATCATCTTTCTATAAATGATCAGACCAATGTTGGGGGGCCAAGAAAAAGGAAAACCCGGGGTTTTTTTTTTTTTTTTTTTTTTTTTTTTGAGATGGAGTCTCACTCTGACACCCAGGTTGGAGTGCAGTGGTGCGATCCTGGCTCACTACAACCTCTGCCTCCTGGGTTCAAGAGATTCTCCTGCCTCAGCTTCCCAAGTAGCTGGGATTACAGGTACCCGCCACCACCCCCAGCTAATTTTGTGTATTTTTAGTAGAGACGGGGTTTTACCATGTTAGACAGGATGGTCACAATCTCCTAACTTCGTGATCCACCTGCCTCAACCTCCCAAAGTGGTGGGATTACAGGCATGAGCCACTGTGCCCCGCCCAGACCTGAGATTTTAATTCAGGTCTGTCTGACATGAAAGTCCACACCCATCCCAGTCTACTCAGCAGCATGCTGTAGTCAACACGAGGGGAGGCAGAGGGCCAGCGGCTCCCTCAGCTGCTCGGAGTTGTTGGGTTACATCACACATGGCCTCCAATCCTAGCTTAGCACCTATCAGAGATGTGGCTTTGGAGCTTCCGTTTCCTCATCTGCAAAATGGGGAGCAGTGTACTCATCAGGAAGTAATGCCATGCTTGTCAAACTAGAGAAGGCACCTGACTTCAGGCAGCTACCCAATCTTGGGGCACCGTCACACCGTTTCTTTGGTGAGAAGGCTCCTGCCCTTCACAGGACAGAACTGCTCAGCACCCAAGGCCCACAGGACAAAACCACCCACCTTCTCTTGCAAACCTTCACCCTCATATCCCATGTTCTATTACAGGATCTGCATGTGGGCAGACAAGGGGTTAAGAGGAAAGTTGCGACAGCTGGCAGTTTCCTCCCACGAGCTGAGTGACAAACAGCAGTGAACAGACGTATTAGGGAGCATTAGGGCAGGATGATTAATGAATCCAGCAGGCACCCACATTTTAATGAGGGAGTGTTTGCTTTCCTACCTTTAAATTTTGAAATCCAGCTCCAGGGAGTCTGGCCAAACTGGGGAAGGATCACCCAGCAAAACAGCCCCTTATTGCCTCCAGGGAACGGAGCCCAATCAGAAAGGCTTTATTTTTAAAATTTTTTTAAAGTAAATTAAAAAATTTAAAAACCTCTTGCCATAAGACAGCAATACATTGTCATTTCTTTAAAGGACAAATGTAAAAAAGACAGGTGTCCAGGATTCCTGACAGATTTGTTGTAGTGTCTCACGACTCACAGATGGGCCGAGTGGGAAGTCTGTAGGGACCTGGGATCTGGGAGGTTTGCTTTCCTACAGGAGACACAGGCTTGGGAAGAGGCTAGGAGCAGAATGACGTCAGCAGAAGACAGGAAAGAGAGTCTGGGTGCAAGATGACATCCAGAATAACAGCGCCCTGCTGCAGAAGGGGACCTTGCTTGGAGCAAGCACTCTGCCTGAATGCTGATTCCTCTCCTGAGCTGTGGGCCTGGGCCAGGTCACTTCCCCTTTCTGGGCCTCAGCAGCCTCCTTTGTGTAAAGGAGACATAGACACCTGCCAGGAGGGCTAGGATGAAATGAGATAATACCAAGGGTGTTGCAGGTGCTTCATATATCTTCCCTTCCCTAGGGCAGGAGAATGCAGTTAAGAAACAGGAACTCTAGAGCTAGACTACATTCATGTGGACCGCCACTTATCATGGTGACCAGAGCAATCTATTTATTTGCTCAAAGCCTCAGTCTTCTCTGCTGTAAAATGGTAATGACAACACTTCCTTCCTCTTGGAGCTGCTGTGAGGATTGCATGATGTAATGTAAGCATTTCACACACCAGGCACATTTTCACTCTTCCATAAATGTCAATTATTATGAGATTAATTTAATAATGCACAGGCTGGGCACAGTGGCATATAGGAGTGATCCTACAATCCCAGCAACTCAGGATGCTGAAGTGGGAGGATTCCTTGAGGCCAGGAGTTTGAAACTAGTCTGGGCAAAAGGCATCCTGTGTCTACAATAAATGAAAAAAAAAAATTAACCAGGCATAGTGGTGCGTGGCTGTAGTCCTAGCTACTCAGGAGGCTGAAGTGGGAGGATTGCTTGAGCCCAGGAGTTCAAGGCTGCAGTGAGCGATGATTGCACCACTGCACTGCAGCCTGGGCAACAGAGTGAGACCTTATCTTTAAAATAATAATAATTAATCTTAATGCAGAGATGTTTTTGTACAAAGAAAGTTACTGACAATGCCCCTAAGATCACTAGCAAAAACTGAAGATAAATAAAAAGTAAACCTACCCAGTAAGGTGGTGGATGCTGGTTTGCAGGACCTTCTTCCAAATTAGGGGTGAGGGCTTCTAAAAATACAACCTTAGGTGTGAAAGTCAATATTTACTTAGAATTAAAAGAACTCACTACAAAGTACATCTCCTTGTCCTTCTCACATTGAGTGTGAGCGTACATCTGTGGAGATCTGTAAGCCAAGCCTCCATCTCTACATCTCCACGCCAGCCAACCGTGTTTTAGACATTTAATATTTAAATTGCCTATTCCAATTCCCTATCAAACCATTACTCTGAGGATGAAAGTACGACCCTTATTTTGAAAAAATGTAACTTGGGGGTCTAAATTGGTGCAGTGTCTTCTGTTGCAGTGCTTTTGTAGTGCTCTGAACATTTGCATCTCCCACTGGGCAGACAAAGCCCAGTCCAGAGTAAGTGTCTGTTTCTGTCCAGACACTTTGGTTCCTCCTCCCACTCACTGAGGCTACTGGCATTGGTCCAAAGTCATCCACCTACCAAGTATGAATAGGCTTTCCCCAGGGAATCTGTCCCATAGCCATCTGCAGCCTCTGTCTCTCTTGTTGGCAAGCAGAACAGTTCTCATTCATGTTTTGTGCCTCAGAGGGTACAGGAGGAATTTGTCTACACTTGGCCCATCTCTGCACTGCTGCCCTCTATCCACCATGCCCACTCATTTTATGGATGCTGGTGGCCACCTCAAATGAGCACACAGGGAGTCTACTTGTCAATTTGAATTACCTTCCAAATCTGAAATGGGGTTCTTCTAATGGGCATCAACGTGTCCTACTTTAAATGTACCCACCAGATTGCCATAATGATGTCCACAGGGCCATGCCCCATACAGACATGTGCTAGTAGGCCAGTTTTCCAACGCCCTTCTGCTGACCATGTGGGCAGGCCATTGGTCACTGCCCATGGGTTGGCAGAAATCCAAACACTGGAGCACACAGGATGCAATTCAGCCTATTAAGCTGATTTGGTTTTACCTTCTTCAGTCAGAGTGGTGGGCTTCCAGACAGGATATTGTCTATTCAACTTGGAACTGCCATTCACACATCAAACAGGTTTTTTTTGGTCAATTGAGAACTGTGTGTAGAGCTCTGTCTGAGTGATGACAGAATGCAGCATCTCTTCAGGTGGTTCCAAAGTCAGTCCCTGAGGGAAAAGAGTCTAGTTGTTTCCGAATATACTGAGTATCCGCATTTTCCCAGTAGCATGTTCAGATTTCCAGATATTTATGTTGTTTAGTCTTAGGAAGAGTTTCAATCCGTGTCAGACAGCGAGCTAGCAATTGCCTCTCAAATGGTCCCAATCTCCAGTATTCATCCCTGGAGATGCTGGCAGGCTTTTGACATAAACCTCAGTCTACACTCCACATGGGGTTATTGAACAGGGAATTTATCCATCCCAGAACTCCAGCTTCTATTCTACGCTGTTTGCTGGTAAGAGCCTGGGTGTGCTCAAGCATTCTTGTTGGTTTTCATTTAGCGTATCCAATTAATATTGCTTGAAAGGCAGATTTGCATGCCCTCTGTTTTATAATAGTAGGTAGGAGAAACAAAAAAACACTTCCCAGTCAGACATAATACCCCCCCCCCTTAATACCTTCAAGGGAAAGACAGGTAGCCACTTCACAGAAAGCCTGTTTGAACATAATGAATTTTGTCCAAATTTTCACCTTAATACCATCGACCCTTGAATTCTTAACTGCAGCCCTGGTTGGGACTTTGCCAACAGGTTCTGGTTTTGTAATGCTAGGTAAGGGAAGTGTTCCCTAGTCAGACACAACATCTACCCCCATAAAACATTCAGGTCAAGTAGACACTACCTCTTCATAACAAAGCTTGGTTAAACATTCAGATCTTCATTTAAACTTTCATGTTCTATCAGCTCTTACGTTTCTATATTCTCAATTTACTTGCAGCCCTTTTGAGAATTTCACCATTCGGTTTTGGTGCATGGGACACCCATGTCAAGGAGTCTCAGAAATTTCTCTTCTCCACCCTCTGTCCATTTAATCCTCCTGAGTGCATAAAGTTTTAGGTTCCCACTTGGGAGTTGAGCCCAGGGACCCTGTCCTTTTGTCAATTCTCATCTTGATTGCCTGCCTGCGACCCTGCTCCAGCCAGATGGGCAAAAGCTCACTTGATCTTGATTTTCGGTATGAATACAGACCATGAAAGTGAGGCCTCACGATCCTTCTGACCTTTTGGGTTTTAAGCAGGAGGTGTCAGAAAAGTTACCACAGGGATAACTAGCTTGCAGCAGCCAAGCATTCATAGTGACGTCACTTTTTGATCCTTCGATGCCGGCTTTTCCTATCATTGTGAAGCAGAATTCACCAAGCATTGGATTGTTCTCCTACTAATAGGGAACGTGAGCTGGGGTTAGACTGTCCTGAGGTTAGGTTTCTCATTGTAGTCTTTGCTTTCCAGTTTTTATATTTTTCCATATGGGGATATGTTGGGGACTGGCAGAGGGTTTCACTGGTCCACTCAATCTTAAGAGATATGTTTCTAAACTATCAATGTTTGCTTTATTCGTTCCTTTTCTTAATAGCCACTTAAAGATCTTCACCAGACTCACCCCTCTAGACAGAGATCACCTTCTCTTGGGAATGAGCATAGCATTTTTTTTTAAGTAATTTATTGTTTCAGCATGATTATTTCCTTTGTAATTAGCTCTGAGGCTAGTTGTTGTATCTAGGACTGGCAAGAATTAGGATCTTTCCCAACATCTTCCCTTGATATGTGCCCTGAGACTAGAAGCTGCAGTTCAGACTGGAAGAATCTAAATGTGGCCTATTTCTTACTTTTGTTTTAGCTCTTATAAATAAATAAGCAAGGGATTGTGTATTTTGATTTTTTCTTATAATTTTGCATTTCTTATGCATCCAGTGATGCATAATAAATCATCTCTAAATTCTACTGATAACTTTCATCTCTAATAAATGATCACAGTACAGCTGCTGCCTCATACAGTGGGTCATATCATGGCTACTCAGGGACAAAATGGTCCTTATCCCCCATCCTTTCATTCTTTTTCTTTCCAAACCAAATGTTTTAGTGAGTCAAGTTTATTCTAGCAAATTCTATTTCCTGTTGTTCTTGACACTAACTACCCCAAACCCTAAATGCTCCAACACCAGCTGGGTGTACTGCAAAACAATTCTGACATTGACCACCCAGAGTCAGTGTCAGACACCACAGGCTAAGGGTCCTGTCTTCTACAAAGTTGTCCCCACTTCAGATACCAGCTGCAGGAAGGGCCCTCAGGCCACCCATACTTCCAAATAACTGTCTATAAACTCAGGGGTTACCACAACTCCTGCATATTCATGCCCAATTCACTAGTACAACTAACAGAATTCTGGAAAATGCTATACTTGTGTGCAGTTTTATTATAAAGGGTACACATAGAGCAAGGTGTTAGGGGAAACAGAGCTTCTGCATCTTCTCCCCATAGAGCCAGGACAGGTCATCTCCCAGCATATAAATGGGTTCACCACCAGGAAACTCCACTGAGCTTCATTGTTCAGAGTTTTTACTGGGACCTCATTACAGGCATGACTGATTAAATCACTGGTCATGTAATTTTACAGCCTTCAGCCTCTCCCTGGAAGCTGGCTGGCTGAAAATTTCAATTCTCTAATTATATGCTTGGTCTTCCTGGTGATCAGTCCTTGATCCTGGTGCTACCTCATGGCTCACTATAAGTCACTTCCTTAGCATAATGAAGACACTACTATCATCAGGAAATTACAAGGATTTTTGAGGTTCTGTAACAGAAACTGGGACAAAGACCAGGCTTTTTTATAATTCTACACTGACAATGAGCAGCACAAATCCAGGAAATAATATAATATCTATATTAATTAACTGCCTGACACACCTTTATAAGCTTTTTATTGCTACAATTTTTATTACAACCATTTGAAATGCTTTTTATAGAGAGACTAGAAGGTAATTTAGTTTTTCCTCCATATGGTTCATCAAAGTTGTTTTTTAAAATTACTGGCTGTTTAGAAATGTTTTTTCACCTTCTTATCTCTTTATTAATAATATTATATATTTTTTAAGGTTGTTATTAAATTTGGGAAAACCACTTGAATTTTTGTAAGTGACTTAAAAAATTTGGAAGAATTTTCTATGAACTAGATTCTGGCTTTGCACATTTCAAACTTTATTAGCCACACAATTCCAGTGCTAGGTGCCATAGGACATTTACAGTGCCATAAAACCTGCCATAATGTAGCTAAGTAACATTAGAAAATACTTAGCATAAAAATGGCTTCCCGAATAGCGTGGAAGCCATTGCTATACCAAGGCAGCTACTGATCACAATGAGTGAAAGTCATTGCAGAAGACAAATACACCCCACTAAGACCATCTAAATGTATCCTGAGCTCAACTCTATCTTCACTGAATCCTGGATATGCCCTTGACTGCTCCAACTACCCTACATGGGGGCAACTGTGACAGAGGGGAAGTTGGTGTAAAATTGATGGTGGTATTAATGAATGGTAATACAGATATTTCACTGTTTCAAATTGCATAGAAAAATTTGATCTTGAGAACACATTGTTACAGTCCCTCCCAGGCCTTAGAAGGAACCTATGCAAATGGGGAGTCCTGAGGCTTGCCCTCAGTGGTCTACCAAGGACTGGGGCCGGTGCAAGCAGTCTGCCCTAGCAGGAAGGAGTACTCTATCACTGACTTTGTTTAGGTTTGCCAGAGCATGATGATAAGAAAAAGGAGACCAATTTTTAAATAACCTTATTATTGTTTTTAAATTTTCTGCATATAACACACCCCTTTATTGACTGCACCTGAAACACAAAGCCCCCACCATCTGACCTTTAATAAGTCACCGGTTAAGGTTCTTTAGCTTCACAGTTAAGCTGCTTCTCCCATCCTGCATTTTCCACCCTCCATCCCCAACCTCAGTTATGGCAGTCTTGAGTCCAGGAAACACAGAGAGAAAATAACAAATGAGCCAAGGAGATGGGGACACACAGGACTTAGGCTAGAGTAATAGCGAAGTGTGTTTGCTCTGGAGCCAGGGTGCCTGGGTTTGCACTCCAGTGCATCCTCTTGTTAGAAATAGGACCTAGGGCAAGTTATTTAACCTCTATGTGCCTCAGTTTTGTCATCACTGAAGGGAGGATAATTACGGTTTTTAGTTCATAAAGCATTGTGCATATGAGTGTAGGGATCAAATGCAATGTTGTTTATTTACAGGCATGGAGGCCTGGAAATACCCTGTGACTAGAGGGAATGTAGCACATTCAGGGAATGAAAAGAAGGCCAAAGGAGCTCAGAGAGCAGAGGCAAGCAGAAATAACCTGGGAGGTCAGCATAGGGAAGGCGTTCCAGGATACTTAAGGATTTTAATCTTTATTATTAAGGCAATGGGAAGCTATGAAAGTTTTGTTTTGCTTTTCAGGGGGAGTGGCGTGGAAGCTTGAGGATATTAAGAACTATGATCACTTACAGCAAACATGCCAGGGATATTTTGACTAAGAATTAAGACCACCTGTGTCAGCATGACTTAGCTATTTGTCCCAGGGAAACTTTTCCTGGGAAAGGTAAGACCGTAAGTCAATAAGTAAGTCCACTGTCTGCTTTAGGAGATCTTTGCAGACCAATCTACCTGATACAACAGTCTGCTAACTTGGGCAAACAGATTAGTAATCACAAAACAGTTGACTTATTAAAACTTCAGGTCCTTGCCTCATGATGTTTGCCAGTCCTACCTTGCCACATCACAAATTTTGCCCAGCCAATTAGCTTCCCACCTTGAAAAGCCTACCTTTAACCAGTGAAACTCAGACCCCAAGGCTCCATGAATGTATTCTGACACCCCTCTCCTAAGACACTGATTTCTTTCTCTAAGACCTTTCTCAAGGTGGTGTTCTCCATCACTGTGGTAAGTTCAAATAGATTTAGTTTCCCTTGATTAATAGACTGTGTAGTGATAGCTTGGGAAGTTAACAAAATGATCAGATTTTTAAAAGTTCTCTCATGCTGCAGCATGGAACATGAATTGAAAGGTGAAAATGGTGAACGTGGGGGGTTTGCTTCAGTACAAATCTCAAAGAATATTTGCATCAGGGGGGCTAGAGGTATCCACAGGCTGGGTCTTTGGTGCTCTTTTGTACCCTACCTCCACCCGTCCTACTATGAACACTACTTTGAATATAGTGTTCTCTCAGGAGCTTCTAAAGTGATGTCTAAAACACATCTACATATCCAGACCCACTCTCTTCCCCCTCAGCTGGAATCATGAGATCTCTGCCAGCAACACACGGAACAAAAATGGGTAGAAACCATCTAAGATTTACTAAAAAGGAAGAAATAGTGTTGGGAGCGAAGCTGAGGACCATTATCTAGAAAAGAAAATTAATTTTAATTTATTCTTTTAGCCTGCCAGTCAGTAAGCAAGACCTTCTGAGTGTGTCCCCTATGCTAGGCTGCTTTGAGTGCTAGGAAAACAGAGAAATTTGAGACGTGCTTCCTGATCCAGAGGCAATTCTAGTCCTCCAGGGAAGATGGACCTATGGAGAAGCCTGACACAGAACAGGAAAAGCTATGTTGGGGTGGGTAAGTACAGAGGCAGAGGATACAATCCAGGAAGGCATCAGGTGGTGGCATCTGAACAGAGTCCTGCAGAATGGGTAAGAGCTTTTCTTTGGGAGTAAAATGCCAGGAAAAGACAGCAGTACACTGAAAAAGCAGGTGTTACTTTTCAAACAGAGCAAATGCCTTCTCTGCTCAGCTCAGTCATTTTTTGAATGAACCAAGCCCCAAAGGTTCAAAGATGAAGACAGAACAAGTTCTGTCCTGGAAGGGCGTAGGGGAGAGCTGATGGGCATAGTGAGAGATGGGCCTGGGGACACTTGCAGGGCTTAGATCATGGGGAGTCAGCCAGCAAGAGACTAAGCAGAATGAAAGCCCCTTCCCCTTCAATGAGTGTGGGTGTACCCTCAGCCTCAGACTGGGCTAGATGGCAGCAGATTTGTGAACACCTAGCAGAATGACTCCTGTCATAAACAGAAGCAGATTTCTTATGTGTCTCATTTCCTATACCTAAAATATCTAGTAGGGCCCCATTCACAGCCTGCATTTCTGTAGCCACTTATCATGGCTGAATATTTAATTTTTACTGTAAGCCATCAGGGGTAAAGTAAAAATTCTGATGCCCTGTTTCTGGAAAGAGACTAAAAGGTGTACATAGTCTCCTACCTGGGACTTCAGAGAGTCTGTCTCAAAGTCACTTTGAGCTGGACTTAATCAATGCAAGTTTATGACCAGCACTTACTGGAAATTTCTCGGTCATGGGGAATAATTGCAATCCCCAATCCTCAATCCCCATCACTAATGGGTTTCAACAGTTTACCAGCACCTGCTGGCATTGGGTAGGCACACACCGAGCCAGTTGGTGTAGTGCGCATACAGCTCCAGACCCCTAAGGGCATCACAGACCTGTTATTGCTTGATCTCGGGGCACTGAATGCCACTTGTCCCTCTAAGAAGTTGGAGAATGCCGACTGCTCAGGGATCGTGTAACTAGCTAGTATGCCAGAGTCTCGTTCCTTATCAGAATTAACCAGACAGATCGCTCCACCAACTAACAACAGCCATGCACCACCACCCATAGAACTGAGAAAGAGCTGTCAATCTGTCTGCTAATCCTGTCCATGTACAGGCTGGTTGAGGTTTACCGTGAGGTTTCCAGGTGAGGCCTACAGGCTGCCCCCATTTGCTTGCCGTCTGCCCATCACATCTTTGTTCCTCTTCAGGGCGTGAGGCCACAGTGGAACAGAAAACCTGTGAGGCTTGGCATCGAAGTCAAAGTTCAAGACCCAAGCCTGCCACTTCTAAGACATTTGCCCTCAGGCAAGTCACTTCATCTCCCTGAATCTCAATTAACATTTTTCCAAGAATCGTAACTGGGGGAAAGTGATAATTTCAACCTCTTAAGGTTCATGTAAGAATAAAATCAGTCTGTGGATCTGAGGCAGCTTGCCAATAGCAAAAATACCACAGAACATTTATGGAAAACTTAAGATATGCTCGGCACTGGGCTAACCCTTCTTCATGTATTATCTCATTTAATTCTTTCAACAACTACCCAAGGCATGTGCTATTGCTATTCAAATTTTACAGATGAATAAGTTAAAACAGTGTGTGTTTTATAAGTTAAATAAGTTATATAAGTTTAATAAGTTAAAACTGTGTGCAATGTACCCAAAGTCACACAGATAGAAAAGGGAGACCCTGAAGGATCCCAAAGCTTAGCCAGCCTCAGCTGGGTTACAAAGTCCTGTTCATGTGGATACTGCTGATTTCACCTAAGGGAATGGAACTTAGGATACCAGGCTTAGTTCTTTTTCTGATTTGTCCCTGTTTTTCTCTTTTTCTTTGTTCTATTTTTTAAAGTAACACAATAAAATGTGCCCTTTTTATGTGTACAATTCTGTGAGTGTTGACAAATGAATATACACATAGAGCCATCAGCACAGTCCAGACTGTTCACATTACCCCACCAGAAACTTCCTTTGTGCTCCTTGGACACGGACCTCTCACCTGCATTCCCTTGCAACCCTGGCTGATTTTTTTTTTTTTTCCACAGGGGAGCAGGGGAGCAGACAGGGGAGGAAAAGCCCTGTGGATTTGCATTTTGCAGTCAGTCACGTAAATGGAATCACAGATTTCGGAACCTTTTGAGCCCAGCTTCTTTAACTTCACACGGACATTTGAGCGTGGTCTGTGTTATTCCATGGATCAAAAATTTGATCCTATCGCTGAAGCATATTCCATGGCATGGACCGACCTCTAGCTCTCTTTAAGGAGAGATGGAAACCTTCAATTTCCCAGTAGCTACAGGTCACCTGGTTTCAGGAATTTGGGCTCCTGACCTCTAAGCAGGAAGCTGGTTTGAGAGGAGAATCTGTATTAGAATGGAGAAATTCCTTCCTTTCTTACTTCCAGTCCTGACTTCTCCTGAGAGCCAAAGGAAAACTTGGACCCCAAGTGATCATCTGGAGGGTAAAGGAATGGGCACCAGGTGTGCTAAGAGGGTGGAACAGCTCGTCTATGGGCACAGAAGTGGGAAGCAGCACATTGTGTCTGCAAATGAGCTTCACTTTGCCTTCCTTCTCTTCCTTTCTCCTTCCCTGCCTATTTACATGCCTGTCCTATTTCTTGTTTCTCACCAGGGAGGAATGGAAGGATGGGCTTGCAAAGTACCATGGAATTTGACTTTATCACTAGATTAACTCCTCTATTAATTAACTCACTGCAGAGTTTACAAATCCCTCGGCATTGCGGATCTGGGGTTGAGCTCTGGACTCGGGGTGCTGCTGTGACAATCGATGCCACAGCCCACAAATTACAGCCACTAAAAATAGGTCAGAATCACCTGGTCTCACTTCTTTAAGTGCATGGCTTCTGTGCTTGATAAAAAAAAAACCTAGATAATTAGCTCTAAAAGCCTCATTTGAGGGAGGAGGCAGGTGGGTGGGCTGCCCGTAGGAGGGAAGGCACACAGAAGAGAGGAGCTTGTTAAAACGACAACTCCGTAAAAAAAACAGGGCAGTGAAAGGAGCAGACAGGGGAGGAAAAGCAAAGAAAGGAGTCTTGGGAGAGGTGGAAAGGAGGCATTGAAAAGAGTGATGCTGTCAGAGGAAGTAAGAGGGAGAGGAGGCAGGCAGCGCTTTTCCTGGGTGGGCAGTTTGGAAAGGAGGCAGAAGGGAGCACCGCATGTGGGAGGTATGGTGTGAAGGTTATGGGCTACCCACTCTCTCCTCCTGTCAGTGGTGTGGCCATTCGCTCTGTTACCCGGGCTCCAAGCCTCAGTCAGACTTACTGCTGCTTTCTCCCCCTCTCCATGGCTCATGGCGTCCTCCCCACCTGCCTTCTAAATTTCTCTCCTACCCATGTTGTCCACCCCATGCCATGGTCGCTCCCCAGTGGCTCTTCCTTGCCACCTCTCACCCAGATATTTCAGTGACCTCTGGGTTATCCACCCCCTGGTCTCTCTCTTCCTCCCTATATATTTCCTCTATTGCAGCTGCAAATCTGTTTCTGCTGAAAAACCCTGAGAGGCTCCCAATCACCTCCCAATCACCAGCTGGAGATTCCAAACTCCATAGGCAGACATTTAACACTCATCTGAATGTAGCCTCAAGTTACCATTCTAGGATGATTTCCCTCCAACTCCAACCATACACTCTCCTCTTGGGTTATAAACTGCTGGGCCATGATCTGAATCTTGGGCATGTTCTCTGGTCCCTGGACATTTCAAATATCTGAAGATTTCCTGTACAATTTTTTTTTAAACTTCTCTTGAAAAATTGGGAGACGCAGCAGCACTGAGCCCCCGTTTTAAAATGGCAGCACTCTTTGGTTGGCTCCAGCCCCACCGTTCTCTCTAATGTCTGATGCTAGATTGGTTTCATTAACTTTCATTACCTTTTTGGTCCTATAGATAATGGATCTTGAGACCCCCAACTCTATGCTAATGGCAGCAAAGCATTAAGGGTGGCAATCTGGCACCAAGCCCCCACTGGATCTTGATCTCCATAATACATGATCTTTGTCATGGTGAACTCTTTCTCTGTGCCAGCTGTGATGTAAGGTACAGAGCACAGAGATGGGGAAAGCACTGCCTGCCCCTGTGGGCTCCAGCCAAGCACTTTGAGGCCCTTACGTCTCTGTTCATGCCATTTCCTCTTCCCAGGATGCCCTTCTCTTACCTTTTCCATCAGGCAAAGTTGCCTTCCTGAATGAACTTTTCCTGATGCCCTCTGTAAGGATTAATCCCAGGAACCAGGCCTTCCCCATGGCCTCATGATACCAGGCTCAGTCCCACCTAAGGCCTCACATCTGCCTTTTTAAAAGAATTGTTATTCTATTCTAAATTTGTGAGGATTAGAACCTACATTCATTCATTCTCCCTACTCAACTTTCACACATCCCCTAGATTCATTTTCTGCACATAGTAAGTGCTCAGTAAAGTTTTAAATGAAATTGATTCAGAAACACCTAAAATCCTTAAACTAATGTTTATTACATATGTAAAAAATGCTCATCCCCAATTTTTATGTCCTTGCATTACAGATATATCACAGAATCCTGAGAAAGCATTTTAAAGTGCAGTAAAACCTTTTAAATTTGAAATAGTTGAAGAATGTGGAGGAGTGAATTTAAATACATTTAATATATTTACATATGTATGTATAAAAGATTAAGTTCGAGGCTTTTTAAGAGAACAAATCATGTTTTGGTTTGAGATGTTAGAATATGTCTGCGTACTTGAACTAACCTTGGGTTTCAGAGCTTTCGAGTAAAATCATCAAGTGGGCTTTTCTTCCAAAACCCCCTAACTCTTCCCTGTACCCTTCAGCATTAGAAGAAGCTGAGTAAGTTGCCCCAGGGGTCCAGATTAATCTCCCCTGGCTCTCACAGCAGCACCCCTTTGGAGTATGGTCCCTGCTTTCCCAAGAGACAACCTGTTATTCAGCAAGACTTCTAGGCTGTAAGACCAAGGTGGGAAGGACCATTTTACATTCCTTCTTTGCACCCTGTTCCCGCTTAGGATGGCTTTGTTAACCAAGTGAATCCATATGAGAAAAAGAGAATGAATATCCTGGAGATATGGCACCCACCCTGGTTTAGTAAACCACAGAGACACAGTTCTTTCCTCTGACAGAATGGCTCTATGATGGTGCGGATTTCCAAAACGGGTAGATCACGAAGAGAGGTGTTTGCAGGCCTGGGGATGTGAGTCGGGGGTGAGGTTGGGGGGGCTGCATGGGAGCCCCAGGTGGAAAGGGCGGGAGGGTATGTCTCTTTGTGTGCTTTTTAAAATAAAACCAGCCTGGGGCATTTCATCTTTGAATAAAATTTTGCTGTACAAAATCATTTTTCCCTGCTAATGTATTGATTAGTGACATAAAATGCTTGGTGGGACGCTGAACATATTTTATTACACAATCGTTCTGTAACTGTTTTTTACTCCTAGGAAGAGAGTCATAGAATTTTCATTAAATTTTTGAAAACATCTTTCAAACAATATAGAAAAATTTAAAAATTAGACACAATCCAACTGTTCTATTACATGAGTCATCTCCATTTTTCTGCATTTTCTTTCAGTCTTCCTTCATATGCAGACGTAATTGTACATATCCCAAAGCGAAACTTGTATTATTTATTAATCATGTATCATTGTAACATAAATATTTTTAAATATTGTTTGATAGATTTATAATTATACTTTGCAATAGCTGTAGAATGCATTTAATGAGTGACGTTGCAGAAGTTATTTAACCAGTTCCCTATAGCTAGACATGAAACAAATTCCTAAAATTTTTCTACTGTGAAATAAGTTTTTACATTATATTTTTGCATTTTTTTTTTTTTTAGAGCCAGGGTCTTGCCTTGTCACCCAGGCTGGAGTATGGTGGTACAAACATAGCTTGCTGCAACTTCAATCTCCTGGGCTCAAGTGGTCCTCCTGCCTCAGCCTCCCAAGTAACTAGAACTAGAGGCACACACCACCATGCCAGCATTGTTTTTTTGTTTTTGTTTTTGTTTTTGTTTTTGGTAGAGATAGAGTCTCACTTTCTTGCCCAGGCTGGTCTCAAACTCCTGGCCTCAAAGGATCTTCCTGCCTCAGCCTCTTGAACTGCTGGGAGTACAGGTGTGAGCCACCACACACCACATTTAATTTTTTAAATGTGAACATTTATGTTATAGTAGTAAGAAATGTTCTCCAAGCTAAACATTAAACTTAATGTACCTCTCTATACCTCATAAACTGGATTTGTTTCCCAGGGCCCCCATAACAAAGAACCACAACTGCATGGTTTAAACCAGTGGTCCCCAAACTTTTTAGCACCAGGGACTGACTAGTTTTGTGGAAGACAATTTTTCTACAGACCAAAGGGGTGGGGGATGCTGGTTTCTGAATGATTCAAGCATATTCCATTTATTGTGCACTTTATTTCTATTATTATTACGTTGTAATATATACTGACGTAATTATACAGCTCACCATAACGCAGACTCAGTGGGAGCTCTGGGCTTGTCACCCTGCAACTAGACAGTCCGATCTGGGGGTGATGGGAGACAGTGACAGATCATCAGGCATTAGATTCTCATAAGGAGTGCGCAGCCTAGATCCCTCACATCTGCACTTCACAATAAGGTTCACACTTTTATGGGAATCTAACGCTACTGCTGATCTGACAGGAGGCAGGGCTCAGGCGGTAAAGCGAGCAAGGGGGAGCCGCTGTAAATACAGATGAAGCTTCACTTCCTTGCCTGCTGCTGCTCACCTCCTGCTGTGTGGCCTGGCTCCTAAGAAACCATGGACTGCACCAGTCTGTGGTGCAGGGGTTGGGGAATCCTGGCTTAAACAACAGAAGTGTATTCTCTCAGAGCCCTGAAAGCTAGAAGTTGGAAATCAAGTTGTTGATATCCCTCTGAAGGCTCTGAGGAAGAATCCTTCCTCTCCTCTTCCCAGTTTTTGGTGGCTCCCCCGTGTCCCTGGGTTGTGGCTGCTTCACTCCAGTCTCTGCTTCTGCCTTCACGTGGCATCCTCCCTGTCTGTGCATCTCTGTGCATCCTCTCCTCTTCTTAAAATGGCACCAGTTATTGAATTTAGGGCCCGCCATCTAGGGTAATTTCATCTCAAGATCCTTAACAAATTACATCTGCAAAGATTCTATATCTGAGTAAGGTAACATTTACAGATACTAGCGGTTAAGACCTGCATGTATCTTTTTGGAAGATATTATTAAGCTCTCACTATGATATCTTCTTGAAAACCTCTTCAAATCCCTGGTACTATAATCAGGAGCCTGGGAGTGCCCATAAACTGCCCTTTCAACCATTACCGTTCCTCGCAGAATCCTTGAGAGAGACAGACACGAAGAATAATAATCAAATGGACCACAGCATGCAGTTCTCTGCTAGCCAAAAAGGGTCCTCTAAAGAAGCTGGGCTGCAGAGAAATGCTTGACATTTGGCTCTTACCATCCCCTAAAGACACGTAAAGGAAGAAGACAGAAGATGAGTGCCGTGTCTCAAGAGGCCATTTCTAGCCCCACCTCTTCTCACAGCCTCATGGAAGAGGGAAGTGGAAGAGGGAGATGGCAGTGACAAAGGATTACCAGCTCAGGTCACTACCTCTGAGACGTGGAGCAGGACAGGAGCCGCTGAGAGGGAACAGGGCCAGGAGAGACCCAATGCACAGAGATTCTGCACTGATAAATATCTTGCAATAACTGAGCAGATCAGCCACCTCTTCCCCTTAAGGGAAGGACACTGGGAAGGTGTGGCCAGAAGGGCAGGCAAATGAGGAAATGACTTCTCCTAGAGTAATGGGAACACATTTATACAATTGCCACCCATGCATGTACTACTTAATGCAAATTTTAAAAAATGTTCAGATGCACATTTCCACATATCTAGTCTGCATACTTGTCACTTTTAACGGCTAATAAAATAGCATCAACAAAGTCAAGGCAAAAATTCATGACCATCTCAATAGATGCCAGATATATATGTAATGATATCCAGTACTCATTCCTAATTTAAAAAGTAAGATAAAAACAAACCTCAGGGAACTTGGAATAAAGTGAAAATTTTACAACCTGATGAAAAGCAGCTACCAGGAACCCCTCAGAACGTCATTCTTAGTACTGATATATTAGAATCACTCCTGTTTAATACAGGGCTATGCTCTTCCATGGAAAAAGTACAGATGTTGGAAAAGAAAAGATTATCGCAAGTTGCAGATAATCTGATTTGCTGTCTGCTAAAAATTCAAAAGTCTTACAAGACTCAGTAAGAGAATTCAGTAAGTTCAGTGGTCAAAATGTCTGTGCCTCCCCAAATTTCATATGTGGAAATCAAAACCCCCAAGGTGATGGTGTTAGGAAGTGAAGCCTTTGGGAGATAAGTAGGTCATAAGTGCAGAGCCTTTATGAATGGGGCCCATGCCCCCATAACAGAGACCCTAGAGAGTTAGCTAGCCCTATCAACCATGTTAGGACATGGCAAGAAAACATGCTCTCTGGACCCGGAAATGGACCCTCACCAGACACTGAACCTGCTCGCATCTTGGTCTTGGACTTCCCAGCCTCCAGAACTATGAGAAGCAAGTTTCAATTATTTATAAGCCACCCATTTTATCGTATCTTGCTATAGCAGCCTGAACGAACTGAGACGGTAAGTCAGCCAAATCCATCCAACCCACAAATATTTAATGAACACCTACTATGGGCCAGACATATTTATATATATTATTTTCTAAGAATTCAGAACATGATAATGAACATAACAAAGT